CCCGTTCCATCTCCTATTTATACAAGTTTAATTATTACATAATAAGTAATTAATTCACTAAGAGGATCTTACCAAGTTTTGAATGTTATAAGCTTAGAGATTAGTGGAACTCCTTTAGGTGATTCTATAGTTCGGCCACGAATTGTAAGGTATGTTAATTATATTCGAATAAAACAGATTAAAAAAAAAAAAAAAAAAAGTAATTAAACAAATACACAGATATACACATCACATAGATATATACATAGATACATATATACATAGATATATACATAGATACATATATACATAGATACATATATACGTGGATACACATATAGGTACAAAACATGCATAAAAAAAGGACAATTGGGTATTACATTATCCTCATAAAAGCTTGCGTTGTCTTCCCAGCTTATAATGTTTCCGGTTTCTCCTTGGTAAAAAATGTTCTCATCTCCACAGAGAGCTCGACTGGTGCGAACACGTATGGCCTAAAGAATTAAAAGCATTTGAATATCCCAAGGTTCAACTTTATTGTCTTATGAGTATCAAAGATAGCTTTACAGATTTTCATATCGATTTCGGTGGAACTTCCGTCTTTTACCATGTTATCAAAGGATCCAAAATATTTTATTTCGTTAGACCTACTCCACCAAATTTGAAAAAATATTCAAGATGGATTTCTTCACCAGAACAATCCATGACTTTTTTTGCCGATTTGGTTAAAGATTGTTACGAAGTGCGCATTTGTGCTGGTAACACTATGCAAGTATTATTATTATTAAAAATTTTTCTTTCTATAATTGTAAATTATGTAATAAATTCTTTCATGATTGTGTATTATATAATAAATTTTTAATCATATATATTTTTAATATAATATTAGGATAATTCCAACAGGATGGATTCATGCTGTATATACACCCGAAGATGCAATAGTTATAGGTGGGAATTTCTTACATGGATATAATATTGGAGGGCAATTAGCAATTTATGAGATAGAAAAACGCGTAGATGTTCCAGCAAAATATCGTTTCCCTTATTTTGAAAAAATTTGTTGGTTTGCTGGAAAAAAATATTATAAGATTCTTAAAGGTAATAATAATTTTATGAATTTATGAAAATTTCTAAATTTTAAATATTATAATATTCGTATAATTGATATTATTCCTTATTTTAGAAAATCCTGATTCTTTGTCACAAAGAGAAGAGAAAGGATTGGTTGAATTGGCATTATTTTTGTCAAAATTATCTAGTAAACTTGAACGTAATAGTAAAATTTCTTCTGAAGAAAGGCAATCAATCAAAGAAAATATTCCGACTGAAGTTCGTGATCCTGCAAAATTATCACGAAGATTGAGTAGGCGAATTAATAAACATATTAGCAGATATAGTGAAGAAACAGATACACAATTGGATTCAACTTCAAAAAATCATTATGAACTTCACAATATTTGTGCTGATGAACGATTAGGTTCATCACCTGAATCAAGATTGAACGCTCCAACAAAGATTAGATTGAAAATAGTTAGCAAAAAACGTAATATTGATGATGTAAATATAAAAGATTCAGAAGATATTAAGGGTGTTAATGAAATGGCTGATAATATGATTGAATCCGTCAATGAACATCAATCAAAACGTATGCATTTAAGTTCTTCTCAAGCTAATGATATTGATGGTTTGTATGGTGGTAAACAAGATGATTCACCTTTAACTCCACAAAGTGGAAGTACTATATCGTGGCATGAAGAGGATAAATTTTTTAGGGAATTATAAAATTACTAGCAAATAAATTAATATTTTTTTTTTTTTGCGACAACCTTGAGGTATAAATTATTCGAATTGAATCAAATTATTTCTTGCTTAAAAAAAAACTTTTCTTTTAATTTGATAATGAAAAAGAATTTGGATTGAAATTTTTTGTTTACTGCAATTTTCATTAGCTTTGTCATTAAAATATTTTAGTATTCTTAACGTTAAAAAGTGATAATTCTCTTGTCACGGCAAAAAAAGAATAGAGTAGATTAAATAGAGTAGATTAGATGGTCATTAAATAATCAATAATAACGTTAATTGTAATGTTAATTATTATGTTAATTGTAATGACGTTTACAATTCAAATGGATAATCAATTAACTTTAGAAAAACTTATAAATGAAAAGAAAAAAAAATTTTATTGCTTATACAATACGATTAATTATATTTTTTACGAATTTTTATATGATAATTTTTTTGCTTACAAGTACTTGGACCATGAGATATTGCACATTTTGGACAATGATATTCATCAATTCGTTCACATTCTTCAGTTGGAAGTTTAAGACAAGCCGCATGACACCAAACAAGACAAACATCACATTTTATCCATGTTTCCGTATTTTCTTGAAGCCAAAGGGGCATGAAACGGGGTTTATTATCACATAACGGGCAATTATCGACTTGAGGTGTCTCTACTTGAGTTGAAGACATTCTTTATAAGTCGTTATCTAAAAAAACTAGTTTTTTTTTTTATTAATTAATATTAATAATGTCTACTTTTTATGGGTTAGCGAACAATTATTTGATTAATAACACAATAACTAAGCACCCCTAAGTCTAAAATATTCTAATATTATGAAAAAGCAAGAATTAATTTTGTAAGTTGACAATCTAAAAACAAGTCGAAAGGTTATAAAAGAAAAACAATTATCTCGAGGACGTCTCTTACTAGTCAAAGTAAGAGAAGTTCAAGTTCTCTGCACAGATCCCACCATATAAGTTTACGATGCGGTCATAATCACGTGCCAAATTCGCCACCTTCCTTATTTATGGAATTATAAAAATGCAGGTGGCCATTGCGTATATATGGTATTATTATGGTATTATTTCAGAAAAACGTCATGTCAAATAAAGCAAGCAAACGTGTAAGGGAAGATCCTGAAGCGATCTCAGCAGAAGAACAAGACAATCCTCTGATTAAAGAAGTTAAAGAACAAGGTAATATTCTGATCAAGTACTTAATGTTAGATCGATCGGATTTACTTTGATTGTGTATGTGAACGGAGCTTAAAATATCTTGTTGAATCTTTATAGATGACGACGATCTTGACATTGGGCCATCTTTACCAACGGCAGATGACGTGCGAAAAAAAAAGAAAAGGGGTAATTTAATCGATCGATTTTATTAATCCAACATTTAGTTTGAATATTATTGGATATTAAAGAATCTTTATATTTTCGTAGCTTTGGCTCATGAGAAATTATATTTGGATCATTTACCATCGGCTGATATGTATGAACGAAGTTATATGCATCGTGATGTTTTAAATTATGTGGCTGTTACAAAGTAAGTATTTATCCTTTTATATTATTTATATAGAAATTTATATAGAAATTTATATAGAAATATATATGAATATTACCTAATTTGATTTTTTTTTGATTTTGATTTAAACAAGAACGGATTTTATAATCACAACCTCAGTCGATGGACATTTAAAATTTTGGAAAAAAAATGAACGAGGAATAGAATTTGTTAAACATTTTCGATCACATCTTGGTATTTAATTATTCTTGAAATATTTTACCTTTTTTTTTTTTAATTGCCTTGATTGTATTGATTGAATGTATTATGTTGTTTGTGCATCACAGGAAACATAACAGGTATCAGTGTATCCGCAGATGGACTATTACTCGCTACTGTAGCCATAGACAAAGCATTAAAAGTATATGATGTCATAAATTTTGGCAAGTGACGTTTTTTTATTGATTGAATCATCGCCATGGGGTATCAAATTAACCCTATTTCCATATTCAGATATGATCAACATGATGAAATTTGATTATGTACCAAATTGTATTTGTTGGATTCATAAAAGGGGGCAAGCACAATCTCTAGTTGCTTGGTGAGTCACGTGACATTAGTCATATTCATATTTAGAGAATACATATTTAAAAAATATTAAGCTTAATTCAATTCTTATATTTATTATTAGTTCAGATCATAATTCAAACAAAATTTATATTTATGATGGAAGAGGTGATTCCACACCATTATATATACTTTCAGATATATATTCCAGTCCCGTTCATTTAATGGCGGTATGTTATTTTATGTTATTTAAATTCTGCGTTCTTAAAATTCTGCACTTTTTAAATTCTGCATTTTTTTAATTTTGGAGACGTTTTTTTCACAAGAATGTATATATATATATATATATATTATATATTTATTTATTTATTTTATTTTTTTTAGTACAACGAGGCTTATCATTGCGTTGTATCAATAGATTCATCGGGTATGATAGAATATTGGTCACCTGATGAACCTTTCGACTTACCTAAAACAGTTTCATTTGAATATAAATCTGATACTGATCTTTATGAGTTTAAGAAGGTAATTTCTAAAGGTTTTATCATAGTTATATTATGTATTCACAAAGCCTAAGACCTTTTTTTTTAGTCCAAATCTGTTCCAATATCATTGACATTTTCACCAGATTATCAACAATTTGTTACCATGAGCATTGATGATCGTCAAGTACGCGTTTTCAGGTTTTCAACAGGAAAGTTGACCAGAAAATATGATGAGTCTTTAGCAGTTATGGGAGAAATGCAACAGGTTTGTTGTAAATCTATATTTTAATACACGATATTAATTAAATTTCATACGCGTTATTAATTGAGTTTCATACGTGCTATTAATTAAATTTCATACGCGTTATTAATTGAATTTCATACATACGCGTTATTAATTAAATTTCATATACGGTATTAATTAAATTTCGTACACATTATTAATTAATAAATTTATGCTGGCATGCTATAGGCGGGTACAACTATTTACAAGTTAGATGATATGGAATTCGGTCGTCGCCTGGCTGTCGAACGTGAATTGGAAAAGACACAACAAGCTAATACCATGAATGCAGGTTAGATTAAATTAAATTATATACTTTACTTAAAAAAAATACTGGTTATAAAAAAAAATCAATTTAAACATGATTGTTTTAGTATTTGATGAGAGTGGAAATTTCATAATTTATCCTACAATGTTGGGCATCAAAGGTTAGCACATTTGATAACGTATTAAGTGATGTATACATAATATTGAAATTGATTGATTTTTATTTTTAGTGGTTAATTTAATCACAAATAAGGTGGTGAGATTAATTGGCAAGACGGAACCTCATCGTTTTTTAAACATGTCATTGTATCAAGGAGCACCAAAGAAAAAAATGATTGTTACATTGGTAAATATATACATGCTTTTACTTATTGTTATAAAAAATGACATTGTAATATCATGAATTATATTTGATTATGTTTAGGCAATGGCAGCGTCAGACAATCCTTTGATGAAAGAAAGCGAAGCTACAGATCCAACCATATTTTGCACAGCATTCAAGAGAAATCGATTTTTCATGTTTACGCAACGAGAGCCAGACGCGTTAGTTATTTTATATAATTTTGAGAAATTTGGTTTGCCTATAAATATTTGATGTTAACAAATAAGAAAAATTTATTTAGACATGATTCACACAAAGGAGATCGAGATGTATATAATGAAAAACCTTCACGTGAGGAACAAACAGTTGCCTCAGCCACACCAACCAAACAGAAATTAGGAAATACGGCGATTTTACGTACCACATCAGGAGATATTCATATAAGATTGTTTCCTGAATATGCACCAAAAGCAGTTGAAAATTTTGTAACACACGCAAAGAACGGATATTATAATAATGTGATATTTCATCGAGTTATAAAAGGCTTCATGATCCAAACAGGAGATCCACTTGGTAAGATCCTCTTAGTGAATTAATTACTTATTATGTAATAATTAAACTTGTATAAATAGGAGATGGAACGGG